AGAAAAAAAGGTTCCTTCTGATGTTCAATCTGTTAATTTTGTGAATATGATCCAGCCATTGGCTGAAAGAGCTTAAACTCAACTAACAATGATTTTGTGGAGTTAGTCTTGTCGCAAAAATTAGACAGGTACAAAGCCGAAGAACTTGCAAAGGAGTGCGGTACAAACGAGGAGGTGCTGGAGATTTTGAAATTCAAGGATGATAAGCACATGTGGATTGATGGAATAGAAGTAGAGTCACCCACCACTAAAGCCAATTTCCTTCCACCGGTGGAACAAGCACAAGATTCAGGAGCAAAAACTCCACTGGACCCTATAAAGCAAGTACATGTCGAGAAGGAGAGCACTCAACCGGTCATCAACTCAAATAAATTATCGAAGAAGGAAGAGAGTGAGTTGATAATCATGCTGAACAAATACCAAAAAAGGATTGAGTGGACAATCTCTGATATTAAAGGGTTAAGTCTTTTTTGGTTTATGCGGAAAAAGAAAGCCAAAGGAAGGTTGAAGGTTCCGTTGAAGGAGGTGGCAAGAAGATTGATGTGTTGGAGAGGCCCAAATACTTAGAACGAAGCATATGCGGGGGCAAAGTCGAGCCAACGACCTAAAACAAGGGCAGGTAACCGGGAGGCAACCCGGGGATATTTTCGTCATTTTTCGTTAAAACATTTCGTTCTTTGCATTCTTATGTTTTTTTTTAGTGTTCCAAATGTGTTTTGTCATTGTTTTCAAACCAAAATAACGGACCTTGGGGTGGAAAAGTATTTCATTTCCAAGAGAGAGAAATTTTCAAATTAAAAAAAAGTGGGGATTAGCATCCAGAGGCCAATACGGGTCGTGTCCCATTTTAGCCTTAATGGAACACGGGTCGTGTTAATGAAAAAAAGTCCCAAATTCTTACAGAGACCAACACAGGTCGTGTCCCATTTTGGCCTGAAAATGACACGGGTCGTGTCCGTGCAAAAAAGTCCCAAATTCTTTCAGAGAGTAACACGGGTCATGTTTGCTTTTAGCCTTGACCCAACACGAGTCGTGTTCATCTGTAACCCAACATAAAACCCCCAACACGGGGCGTGTCGAATTAGGCTAGGGCAACACGGGGCGTGTCCGCGCATCAGTTACATTCCTTTTTAAAGAAAAAAATCGGGATTGAACCTCATTTACCCCCATTTTCACTTTCTAACAGCCCCTCTCTCCCAACAAAAAAACCCTAGGTCCGATTTTCATAAAAAACCTCTCAGTCTCTTCAAGATTTTGGCTTTCATCTACAAAAAGGTTTGATTTTCATCATCTACACTTCATCTTCTCCATCTTAAACACCATTTTCTTGCATTTTAATGGTGGATTTGGGGGTTTTGACAAACCCTAGATCCGAAAATTCTCACTTGATTTTGGTGTTTTAGTGTCTCAATCTTGAAAGGGGCAAGCTTGGGGAGGTTAAGGAAGATTTTCTCCATCAAGAACAACACATCCCAACACACGATTCGGTAAATTCTTTCCAACTCCTAACTTTTGAATTTTGTGTTCTTGAGTCAAATACTTGAAATTGTGATCTATTTGGACTTGATTCTTAGTTGGAAATCTTTGAAAACCAAATTTCCCGCGAAATTTTGGTGGCCAAGTTCAAAGTTGACTGGACCCGTCAACAGTTGACTTTTTGACATTTTGACCCATTGACTTTTAAATTTGTCCCAAACTTGACTATGGAAGCTACATCTTCCAAAAGACCAAGACAGACCAAATCATCCGCCCGCCGTCGGAAGCCTAGATCTCCATCGCCTCCACCTAGGTCCCCAACACCCCCAATCGACCCGTCTCATTGCGGTGTCGTATGTCTTGGCCCAATCCAACAGGGCAAACTTGAGTCATTCCTTAAACGGGGTCATGCCATCCAAAAATTTGCGCATGCTCCATCCCTAAAAGAGTTTCATGTTTACAACCAAGTCAAAACCATGTTCCACAATATAGGGTGGCAAGGCTTGTTGAGGGTCCATGAATTCAGCTATAAAGTCCCAACAGCCGAGTTTCTATCCTTCATTTTTTTTGGACCATGAGATCCTATACTTCCGTCTAATGAATCAAGACTATGAGATCTCTTTGGATCAAATCAATGCCATTGTGGGGGCCCCAACGGAAAACACATTTGGCCCCACCGATCCAATTCAAGGATTCTATGACGCCACATGGTGGACTCAACTTACCCGACAACACCCCTATGTCTCTAGCGCTGCCAAAGCCTCATCACTAATCCATCCTGTGATAAAGGTGGCCCACAGAATTATTGCTTCGCTCGTCGCCCCTAGAGAAGAGTGAAGCACCATCAGCGCATTAGAACTCAAAATCCTCTATGCAATGACCCATCCCGAGAAAAATCTCATTCCTCATTATGGTCGATTTGTGTGCCACAAGCTCCTCCGCCTAAGCGCATCCCGATCGGGAAAACTTGTTTGCGGGGGTATTATCAGTATGCTCGCCAAGAGCGCCCAAGTCCGAGCCCCATACCCCGGTCCCCATCAGCCACTGCCGGGTGAGCCCTATCTCACCACTACTGTCCTTGAGTCCATGCGACTCTTCCGTTCGGCAAGCGACGACACACACCATTGGACCGTGGGTCAAAATCATGATCCAAAGCTCCTCATCACACCAGACAATAAATACATTCTTGCTTTCCGAGATCCCATTCACATGACCGACTGACAAATCATTCCATACATCTTCCCCCACTTGTACTCTACCGAGGTAGATGAGCAAAGTGAAGACAACGCGGATGGTGATGATGATGATGAGGAGGAGCCCTACCATGCTTCTCCCACCGGTGGTGCCAACTCATCCTATTTTGCTGCAACCCCACCTTATCATCAGCAGTATATGGATGCATTCCAGTCAATCCATACCCGCCTCGAAACTTACCAGCAAGATATTGCAAGCCTGACCCATAATTTTTCCACCTTCACCATCAATTGCTGAAGAACTACCACTAGTGTCAAGTGACTACTTCATGAATACAATATGATATAACAAAGCTTAGATAATCCTTCGAGTAAAAGATTTAACCCTACAACGTTTGGACTCAGACAAGAGCTGCGCAATAGGGTCACATCCATCACTCTAAGATTATTTAACCTTTGCAGCATGCAACTTAACATATTCACTTAATAGTTAACTCACATCACTAAGGGTTCCACAAAGCACAAAGCAAGAAACATTTGAACATCGGAAAATCTAACCAAAGTACCAACTAATCAATCCACTCTATCCAATCACCTGAAATTCATACTAGCATGCAATTATAAAGCTCAAACAACAAGCATACAAAGGCATCTCTCCTAACATGAAATCCTGAGCAGATCCTTAGCCCTAATCTAGCATGCAATTCTCATAACATATAACATAACAAACATGTATGGGTATTATGGGAATCACTTACTTGAGCTCGATTGATTGCACACATCACACCCCCTTTTTCTTGATAAAAACCTTTTTAGAACTTACTTTCTTTCATAATATTACCAATTCCTCAGATTGAGTTGAGTCACACCCGAGAATGTGCCCGAATCCCTCAAACCAAGGTTCTGATACCAACTTGTAACGTCCCAAAAACCATAAGGTAGAAATTTCATTTTTAATTCAACATATAAGCACCTTTTACTCTTATCAACCAATCAAAATCACGTCAAAGTGAAAATAGTTGTCAGAGTGCAATCTCAAAATCATAAAATGCGGAAACATGGGTGGACACGATGCGATCAAGTTGGGCCCTTCCTTCTCGAACCTGGAGTACCTAAAACCATGAACATAAACCATAAGCACACAGCTTAGTGAGTTCCCCAAAATACCACATACCATACATACAATAGAGATTGTTATGTACCATCCATAGTCTTATAACTGCCATTATGCCATGTGCCATATCATGGTCTTTACATGCCAGGGTGGGAGCCAAACCCTAGGTCTCACAGACAAGTACCAAGAGCCACCTCATGGTCTTCCATGCAAGTATCACAAAGACAATTACCATACTACATATAACTGCTAAGGTCCAAACCCTGGTATTGCATATAATTTTTCAGGAGCCGTATCCATGTCTTTCATGCAATTGTCAGGTGCCACCACCTGTTCTTTCTACATAACATAATCCTATGGGTCGGCATCTTCGACCCCCTTAATATAGTGAGGAGACTCACCTCAATCCAAGATAACTGAAACACACACGTGCTGCTGCTATCAGGTTCCTCACACTGAACACATCCAAATTACCCTTAATTAATAATTAGCGTAATTTCCCATTATTTAAGGTCCAATTCATATCTCCTCATAGCAATGGGTAAAAGACTATTTTATCCTTCCTATACTTGGCCCAAAAAATCAAGGCCCAAACCCAAAATAACTCAAGGCCCAAAAATGGCACAAAAGCCATTAAGGTGCATACGCTGTTGGGTGCATTTTGTGCACCCTTCTTGCACAACTTTTAGCCCATTTTCTATGTTTATCCTTAAAGTAATTTCGTTGTTGTTATTGCATTTTAGCATATCTAGGTTAATTTCTTGAACAACCTTATTTGCACATTTTTATGTCAGTTTCAGGTGAACCGGGGGTTGGAGCGCGCTTTTGCAGGTGCTAGGGAGTGTTGATGAAGATGGCGGGACGATGGGATGAGAATCAGAAGAATTAGAAAAATCAAGTTTGGCTGAGCATTCAGAGGGCAACACGGGGCGTGTTGGGTTTGCCCTAGAAACCAACACGGGGCGTGTTGGGTTTGCCCTAGAAACCAACACGGGGAGTGTCTGGCTATCAAGCACATATCTTCTGACTTCGATGAACACGACCCGTGTTCATTTAGCCTATATGGACACGGGGCGTGTTGGGCTATCCGGGCATTTTTGAGCATCTTACTTACACTCAACACGGCCCGTGTTTATTTACTCTATATCGATACGGGGCGTGTTCAACTTAAAAAAACTGTCTTTTTGGCAGTTTTTCCTCCTTTCTTATTTCGGGAAATGAGGTCATTTTTGGGAGAGGAGAACATATCAGAGCACCATTGGAGAGGAGAATTCGAAGGTTTTTGCAAGGGTTTGTCTGTCAATCATTTGGAAACATTAATTCTTGTTTTTGTAAGTTGTAATTACACTTAATTTCATCTTTTAGACTTGTGATCTTGTTCTAGTCATGTGTGGCTAGAACCCTAGTTTCTCCAATTTCATGTTTTGACTTCTTGGTAGTGACTTCAATCATATGACATGATGTTTGTTCTTAATTTCTATCTAATGAATTTGATTTTGCTTCAATCGAATGTTTGATTCTAATTGTGATTCTTATTGGCCATTTGAATTAGGGTTAGGTCATTCAAGTTATCTCTTTTACAAAATCCGTAATTGTTTTGTGAAATTGAACAAGTAACAAGCATTAAATTAATCTCTATTGAATGAATTTAGTGTAAATCTTATTCATACACTTTTACACTCCCGAGCTTATGAGGAGTATTGGGTGTTGTTGGGAACATTCATATAAAGCTTCATGCAATCTTATAATCTAATTCTAAGAGCTTGTTTAGATTAGGTTAATAAGGTTAGGGTTAATCAAAGAGCTTGTTTTGGTTAATTAATGTGGTGAATGGGAAGTGTTAGAGCTTATTAGCACTTTCAAGTACCAACTTAGATAGAATTGAACGAATATTGTGTCATCTTTGAGTCACATTGCTAAATTGTCATACATGGAGTTGGAGTCCTTACAAAATTTGAACTTAATTCATTCGTTTAGTTGTCTACTCGTGTTTTAATTTTGTTTGTTTAGTCATTGCATTCTAAACCCCCCTTATTACTGTTGGTGACCATAGTACCTTGCGCAAAGAGGTATAGACTAATTATCATGTGTCTCTGTGGATCGACCCTGCTTGCCTTGTACTACCTTTTAGTGTAATAGAGTAGTGTTACTTAGGAGTTTATCGTACCCCTTTATTTGTTGGGTCTGACACCCCTAACAGCCCAGCATACCAACCTGGTACGGCCAGCATACGACGCTGAAGCCCAAATTCATCTCCAAACTTATTAATGCCTTAAGACAACATGTATAACTTCAAGATCTAATTCTTATGGGATGTCCTAAGCCATAAAGTTCCCGACTTTATGACTTTGCATGGCTTAATGGTGTCCAACCCAAAGCCTTAAATCTCTAACTTCATCAAAAGACCACCAACTCATGCATGGAAGGAAAAGAAGAACCAAGATCACATTTTTATGGTTCCTGTTGATATATGGTCCATTAGCATGGCCTAGACTGCTCTAGCGTGCCAACCTTGCCCGGTGCGCTCCCGCCAGCCCTACCTGGCTCTCCCTTGCCAGCCTTGTTGCAGTTCTCCCGTTAGCCCGACCTGGCTCTCCCCCTGGCCTGGCTCTCCCTTGCCAGCTTTGTTGGGGACTCCCTTGCCAGCCTTGTTGGGGACTCCCTTGCCAGCCTTGCTGGGGACTCCCCCGCCAGCCCGGCCTGGAACTCCCTTGCTATCCTTTCCTGGTGCATGCCCGCCAGCCTTGACTGGTGCGTGCTCGCAAGCCCCGCTCGATGCCTTCGGTTGGCTTCACCCAACTCCTTGCTAACTGGTCCTAAATTGGGTTGGCCCAAGGCTTGACCTAATTATCCCCTATATAATGAATAGTATCTCCTCCCTGAGGAGGATCCTTCCTTTTGGCTCAGCCGCCACCTTATACTTCGGTCGGGTGGTTCTGCCGCCACCCACCGCCGTTAGCCACCACACACCACCACCCGCACCAAGATAGTTTTGTCTAGCCTAAGAGAACCATCTCAGATCTACCGGCTGATCTAACTTGATTTTTGGAGTGCGCTCCCTGGGCATAGTCCCTGGGGCGGCTCTAACGGCCTTGTCTGTTGTGACCTCGCAGATCAGTCTCCGACGCAGAATATATGGTAAAGTTCAATAGAGAACCATAATTAACCAAGGAACCAATCTTTTTTTTTCAACTTCTAGAACTTATTTTTTATCAAAAAAAAAAACTAAAAATACAAAAATTCATAACTTTTTATCCTTTTTCCAATGATATCAAATTCGGAAAAAAAATCGTCAAATTCACAATGTGAATCTTTGAAAATTCACAATGTGAATCTAATTTCACACGGTGAATTCGAAAATTCACAATGTGAATCTAAAGTCATTCTTAAAAACAATCTTCATTCCATAAAAATACAATTCATCAAAGAATCTTCATTCTCATTCTTGTTTCATCCACCATTGTTGTTCCAAATAACTTTGCTACATTCCGAGTGGTCTTGAAAAAAAAACACATACAAAAAATGAAGTTCAAGAATATAAATACATACAACTTGTTGCCTCAATATACATCATTCTTGATACAAACTTTTTCTTGACCGGTTGAGATTCAAAATGTCATTCTTGAAGAAGAAGAACATTCTTCAACTATCATTTGAAAAAGATTTGAAGTGCATCTTATAGAATAACATGTAAAACAAATTATGAAATGATCAATTAAGCATACTGTTAACCAAAATACTCACAGGTAAAACGAATCTAGAATTGCAAGAAGAAAACTTTGATAAATTGAATTGACAAAAAAATAAAATTAAAAAATGCAGATTTAGATTGAGGGATCGAACAACATTACCGATTGTGTAGAATCGAGAACTTACCTGGGAGAAATCGATGATGACTAAGAGAATAGGGCCGGCTGAATCAATGAAGCAAACAGTGGTCAAGAGGGCAACAGCCTCCTCCGCATCTCCCCAGATCATGTGTTGTTGCTGCTTGCCTTGACCCTCTCGGATCAGCCTTCTCCCTTCTCTTCACATTTGATTACCGGAGCAGACCCTGCGCTGCTTTTCCCCTTCGGCCTCCCCGACCCTGGAGACTACGACCTCCCCTCTTCACTCTGTCTCTTCAACCTCTTCAAACCCGGGAGACGATCTCGATTAGTCACGACAACCGGAATGGCAGACAACACACCTGAGAACGTCCCTCCGACGATCTTGACATCTTCAATGGAAGCAGGAGGCGATTTTGTGACGACGATCTTGACATCTTCGATGGAAGCGGTAGGCAATTTTGTGGGTGTGGATGAAATAGGCAGTAGAGTTTTAAATAAAGTAATTTGCCTAAATTAAAGGGTGGAAGATTTAATTAATTATTTATTAAAATTAAATAATATTTGACCCATATTAATCCCTACATCCACACAATATTTGTTAATCCATATATGAACTTACCTCTCTCTCTCTCTCTCTATATATATATATATATATATATATATATATATATATATATATATATATATATATATATATAATGTGAGGTTCAATACAGAACCATAATTAACAAGGAACCAATCGTGAGCGTCAGAAATCATAACGATCAACAGCCAAGAAAATAGATGTACACTTTTATATTGGATGCACATACACCAGATTATACCAAAAAAATCACTCATTTACAGAACAACCCACCTCTTTTTTTCGTTAAAATTTTTTTTGGCCATGTTTTTTGTCCAAAAAAAAACCGAATATACCATTATTCACGATTTTTCGTCCTCTTTCCATAGAGATCCATGATCATATATAAAAAACGAAATTTTTTTTTTCAAAAAAAACTCACTTCATTTTCTTTGATGAAAAGTTAAGGTCTATTTTTTTTATAGAAAAAATATTAATAAGTATATCAAAATTCATATTTTTTTTTACTTTTTAAACATAGATTCATATTCATGTTTAAAAAAATAAATAAATAAATAAATAAACAATATTTCAGTTCAGATTCACATTGTGAACCTCCTCATATTGATAATGTGCATAATAGTAAGTCAGATTCACAGTGTGAATCTGAACTGATCGGAGCTTTTTCACATTGTAAATGTTGAAATTTGAAATATTTACAGTTGAGATTCACAGTGTGAATCTACACTGATCGAGGTTTTTTTTGTGAACCTTCACAGATTCATAGTGTGCATTAGTAACTCAGATTCACAATGTGAATCTAACTGTTCGAGATTTTTCACACTGTCAATGTTAAAATTGAAATATTTACAGTTTAGATTTACAGTGTGAATCTACACTGTTCGAGGTTTTTTTTTTAATCGGTGTTGGTGTTTATTAATAGAGTACAAAAAATTAATATTTTTGGTATAATTAGTTTTTTTTTTTTATAAAAATAAACTTAAATATTGAAAAAACTAAGAAAACTAAGTGGGTTTTTTTTTATAAAGAAAGTTCGTTTTTTATATATCATCATGGATCTTTATGGAAAGATGACGAAAAATCGTGAAAAACGGTATTTTCGGTTTTTTTCTATAAAAAACTTGGTCTAAAAAACATTTTAAAAGAAAAAAAGGAAGTGAGTTTTGTTATAATCCGGTACATGTATGTCAATTATAAAAGTTTACAACCTTTTCTTTTTCCGTTGATCACTTTAAATTTCAACGTTTTATATTAGTTACCTGGTTCCTTGATCAATAATGGTTTTCTATTGAACTTTTTTATATATATATATATATATATATATATATATATATATATATATATATATATATATATATATATATATAGAGAGAGAGAGAGAGAGAGAGAGAGAGAGAGAGTGTGGGAGGAATGATCATTTGAGAACTCATAATTTCCCGAAAACCCGAGAACTAAAAATGAACCGTCAGATTAAAAAAATTAAGAGCTAATATTGTTTATGGCACTTTTGTAAATAAATGGAAATAAAAACACGGGAGGGTATCTTAATAATATAACATAAGGGCATTCAAGGGATTTAGAAATTAGCCCAAATAAACATATCAGATCCTAGTCTCTTTCTATCGCATTCTTCAACGATTCCATTGACGTCCTCCCTAATTCCATCGATCATCTCCCTCCTCCTTCCGCCTGTAACGCCCACCCTACCTCTGTCAACGACCACCACGGTCTAGGATTTGTCCGTCAGTCTTTGACTTTTCGTGCTCCCGAAGGCAGCGATCCTGAAACCCTAGCCGACAAAATCCATTCATGTATTCGCAAGTGAAGAGTTTTCTCCAGAACTTCCTCATTTCTTCCGTGTGGTAAAAGAGAATGATGAGAAAGTTCCTCTTATCAGGTTGTGTAAGGGTGAATTGATTGGGTGCAGAGCTTTTGGTCAAGTGTATATGGGCATGAATCTCGATTCTGGAGAGCTTCTTGCTGTTAAACAGGTTTAAAATTTAATTTCATTTGCCTCCATTTTGGTGTTCTGATTCTGATTTGAGCTTTGATTTTGATTACTCTGTTTTCAAGTTTCAATTGTTGTTAACTGTGCGTCTACAGAGAAGACTTAGGTTTGGATGCTATGTTTATTTAAGCTAACTGTTAATGTGTAAGATTTGCTTTAGTTAGTCTTTGCTAGATTCAATTAATATCTACACACTATAATCTATTTATATGTGCAATTATACTGTCAGATAGTAATTTTATAGATATTTTTGATGTTAAATTTGTGCGCCATGGATAAATTATTCAAGTAAGTATGTGAAGCAGAACTTTTAGACATGGTGTTTTCACTGTATACAGATATTCATAAATATTGTGGTGGATAAGAATGCATATTTGACATGTCAAGGAGGTTAATAGTTGTGCAGGCAGAGCTTGGTTTGAAATTCATACCTGAAGCATCATCTGTGATGTTATCATTGTTTGTTAACCTCATTCACTCATAGATTGAAAACATACAACTGTCAATATTAAAATTGGTTCTGGATCTTATAAAGTGGAAAAGCAGAAATTGTAAATCTGGTCAACTCTTTTTTACTCTAGTTTTTAGCCACCCTTGCATCATATTGTAATTTCCGTACCTCCTCCTTGTACACCTGCAGAGAACAACAAAGTATATTTTGAAATGATATAACTAAAGGTGGAAAAATGTATATGGTTTCGTATCTTGAAATGTAAGGAAGTAATTTAATAGGTTTATCAGATGACTGATGTAAACATAATTTAATGAGATTTATTCTTAAAAAAGTGTATGCTTGAATTGATAAGCCTTCTCATTGAAGTTTCATTTTAACTTGGTTTACTAATATTATTATCAACATATTTATTTATTCATCTTATTTGTTATTCACATGTATAGATGTTTGTTGTTGTGGTACAACAAGTTTACACACTGAAGCATGAGGCAAGGTTGAATGGTGGATTTTATGTAAACCTTGAAGCAAACTGTTGTTCATTATTATTTGTATTTGTGGGGTACGTTTTCTAGCCATTTTTTATTCTGTGAGATATTGTGAAGAACTTAGATTTGTTAAAGTACTAACTCTTTTTAGATTGAATCTGAATAACTCAAAATAACTAGTGTTTTTATCTGATGTGTTTTCAAGGGCGCTATCGGAAGAGTCACCTGGAATGAGTGTATTACCACAAACTGGATACATTGCAAATCATGAACCTAAAAACTGGATGCACCAAATCAGGCCTGTAAAGTAAGCTTTTCCCTAGTTTCAATATAAATTCATAAAATTACCTATAGTTTTAATCATGTGATTCACATATAAATCACATGTAATACACATATGAAATACATGTAAATCACATATGAATTACATGTGATTCACATGTAAATCATATGTAATTCACATATGAATTAAATGTAAATCACATATGAATTACATGTGATTCACATGTAAATTACATGTGATTCATATGTAATTCACATATGAATCACATATGAATTACATGTGATTCATATGTAATTCACATATGAATAAATGTGATTCATATGTAAATCACATGTAATTCACAAACGAATTACATGAGATTCACATTTAATTAACATATACATCATATGTAATTCATACATGAATCGTCTGTGATTCATATGTTAATCACATATGTATTTTTGTAAGTGTTTTTGCATCAATCAATTTTTTTTTTAATTTTTTTGTAGTTTTGGAAGGAATTGTGGTGAATATTGAAGAGATGAAGATGATAAATTGAAGAAAAATATGGAAATATTGACACGAAGACATAAAAAGGCTTTGAAGTTTTGTACATTTTTTATTTTTAATATATTTTTTTTGTATCGAATAAAATACTTATTATATTGTGTTTATAGATTTTTAATAAAATGAGTTTTTTTTTTATGATTTACTTACGAATATTATAGTATAAAAAATATGAATATATGCATTTGAAAAAAATATGCATATATGCATCTATTTTTTTTTAAATGCAGTTTTTTTTAAAAAAAATGTAACTTTCTTTAAAAAACTTGCAGTTTTTTATTAAAAAATGCAGTTTTTCTTTTAAAAATATTGCAGTTTTTTTTGAAAAAAATACAGTTTTCCTTAAAAAAAAAATTGCAGTTTTTTTGAAAAAAGAAATTGCAGTTTTTTTGAAAAAAAAATGTGGTTTTAAAAAAAAAATAATCAATTTTTTTTCAAAAATACATGTTTTTTATAAAAAAAAATAAAAAGTCTACATTTAAAAAAAAACGAAAAATACTATTTTTAGAAAAATCTGAAAATTTGATTTATGATATAAATTTTTAGATATTTATATTAATATATTAAATAACACACAAAAATGAACATTAAATGAGATTGGTAAGATGACGATGGTATCCTTAACAAATTACTTTTGATCCAACGCTCAACTCTTAGTACTCGGGTTTTCGGGAAACTCTGAGTTCTCAATCATATATATATATATATATATATATATATATATATATATATATATATATATATATATATATATATATAAGAAAAGTTTGAAGCCCGTGCTAAGCACGACCCTAGGAGGGTAATAATGTATTGTGTTATTGTTATCTAATGTATATTGTGCTAATAGCTTAAAAAAAATGAAAGTAAAATGCTATAAATAAATGGATTTTCAATGTAAAACATGATGCAAAGAATTATGGGAATGAAGGAAGTCGTTGGTATTAGGATGAGGTGGCAGCTCTTGAAATTGGATTTTTGATTTAGGGACCTTAATTACAACTATCATTTGCAGAACTTGGTTATTAGTTATTAATTTCGGGGTAATGATAAGAACTGTTGGAATTTTGACTAACTTCTAGTCCTAAGGCCTCAAACACCACCATGGCCTCCTTAGTAAGTTAGTAACAAATGAGGCTCTGTCCACATGTACTGTCCACAAACATCTGAACACGTAAAAATCCAAATCAAACAAAAAAATGCATTGTTATTTAGGACAAAAAAATGCAAATCATGAACCTAAAAACTGGATGCACCAAATCAAGCCTGTAAAGTAAGCTTTTCCTTAGTTTCAATATAAATTCATAAAATTACCTATAGTTTTAATCATGTGATTCACATATAAATCACATATAATTCACATATGAATTATATGAAATTCACATATGAATTACATCTGATTCACATGTAAATCACATGTAATTCACATATGAAATACATGTAAATCACATATGAATTACATGTGATTCACATGTAAATCATATGTAATTCACATATGAATTACATGTAAATCACATATGAATTACATGTGATTCATATGTAATTCACATATGAATAAATGTGATTCATTTTTAAATCACATGTAATTCACAAATGAATGACATGAGATTCACATTTAATTCACATATACATCATATGTAATTCATACATGAATCATCTGTGATTCATATGTTAATCACATATGTATTTTTGTAAGTGTTTTTGCATCAATCAATTTTTTTTTTAATTTTTTTGTAGATTTGGAAGGAATTGTGGTGAATATTGAAGAGATGAAGATGATAAATTGAAGAAAAATATAGAAATATTGACATGAAGACATAAAAACGCTTTGAAATTTTATACATTTTTTGTTTTTAATATATATATATATATATATATATATATATATATATATATATATATATATATATATATATATATATATATATATATTTGTATCGAATAAAATACTTATTATATTGTGTTTATAGATTTTTAATAAAATGAGTTTTTTTTTATTATTTACTTACGAATATTATAGTATAAAAAATATGAATATATGCATTTGAAAAAAAATATGCATATATGTATCTATTTTTTTTAAATGCAGTTTTTTTTTTTTAAAATGTAACTTTCTTTAAAAAGCTTGCAGTTTTTTATTAAAAAGTGCAGTGTTTTTTTTAAAAAATATTGCAGTTTTTTTGAAAAAAATGTAGTTTTCCTTAAAAAAAAATTCCAGTTTTTTTGAAATAAAATGTGGTTTTAAAAAAAATAATCAATTTTTTTTCAAAAATACATGTTTTTTTATAAAAAAATAAAAATAAAAAATCTACATTTAAAAAAAACGAAAAATACTATTTTTAGAAAAATCTGAAAATTTGATTTATGATATAAATTTTTAGACATTTATATTAATATATTAAATAACACACAAAAATGAAACATTAAATGAGATTGGTAAGATGACGATGGTATCCTTAACGAATTACTTTTGATCCAACGTTCAACTCTTAGTTTTCGGGTTTTCGGGAAACTTTGAGTTCTCAACCATATATATATATATATATATATATATATATATATATATATATATATATATATATATATATATATATATATATAAGAAAAGTTTGAGGCCCGTGCTAAGCACGACCCTTGGAAGGTAATAATGTATTTTGTTACTGTTATCTAATTTATATTGTGCTAATAGCTTAAAAAAAATGAAAGTAAAATGCTCTAAATAAATGGATTTTCAATGTAAAACATGATGCAAAGAATTATGGGAATGAAGGAGGTCGTTGGTATTAGGATGAGGTGGCAGCTCTTGAAATTGGATTTTTGATTTAGGGGACCTTAATTACAAGTATCATTTGCAGAACTTGGTTATTAGTTATTAATTTCGGGGTAATAATAAGAACTGTTGGAATTTTGACTAACTTCTAGTCCTAAGGCCTCAAACACCATGGCCTCCTTAGTAAGTTAGTAACAAATGAGGCTCTGTCCACATGTACTGTCCACAAACATCTAAACACGTAAAAATCCAAATCAAACAAAAAAATGTATTGTTATTTAGGACAAAATATTGCTATTAAAACTAATTAATGATCTTTTGTTTAGATGCTATAGTCAACAATATCCAAAAAAAATATAAACATAATATTTATTGTCTAAATAAATAACAAAATGTGTTATGCAATAGTCCAAATTTCCACTTCTGTTAAAATAGACACTCACTGAATTCTGCAAGTTCACCTTCATCTTTGTTATAATGACACATAAATTGCTCCTTAACATGATAGGAATTATTCCTAATATTACATCTTATTATAATATCATATTAAGAAAAAGATTTTACATCAAATGTTACCAAGTAATTGTTAGAACTATATTCTGGACTCAGTAATATCCATTTCATTTGTTATTATCATGAAACATATTTGAATAGAAGGTAAAGATTTTTCATATTAACCAAAAGTATCTACCTTCTCGAATACAAGTTTCCAAGGGCTTTGTGATCTTATATTATGCCAATTCATTCCTTTAAGAAATGATAGTTTTTAAATGAAGTATGATCGTCATGCTTGTATCGAGTCTTTTTGTTGGATCAGTATCATGCTTCATTTTTTAGGATTTAGTTTACTCTAAATTGGAATAATTGAAAAAAAAATCAAACCTGATGTTGCAATTAGAAGGAATGTTATTTGGATAACTTACATGGGCTTTACACTACCAAAATCGTCAATATTTATGTTGACATCTGATGGAAGAAGCATATTCTCTAACTGTCATTAACATGTTATCAGCATTATTTATTAAAAAAATTTCATGTGACAATTAGTTTATTGTTATGGTTATCAATGCTATCCATTGCAACAAAATAATACAAAGTTTTTCATTGAATTAACTTAATGTATTGATGTATGGGATCCGAACAATGTACGTATCCAAGATAATTAAAAGCGAGCTTTATCCTATGTCAATTGGCCGTTCTGCCAAATATATGAGAATTAAATGGAGCTTCATAATCTTCAAAAAGTTAATGAATACAATTTATAACAGACCAATAAAGTTGTATTGTTTTCACCAGTAGTAACAGACCACTAAGTGACTTGAGTCATGCCTATATACAATTGGATTATGTTAATTTCATTATTTATGAAACAACGAAATGGTTATTGTCAGTAATTTGAAGTGCACATGTAATCTTCACAAAAGTTAGGGATTAGTGAAAAGGGTAATAATACAACATATTACACCAACCTTTTTCTCATTCAAGTTGCCCCAATTCAGAAAACTACATAAATATAAACATAAGAAGTTATCAAGGAAAGATGGAAGATAGAGAGTAGTATGGGTTTTTTCATAATAAACATGAAAAGAGAGATGGAGAAGAGTGATATGATCTTGAACCTGGAACGTGTTCAGTGACCTGTTAGCGTCCAATTTTGAGTGTGAATGAATACAACATATTGGAAACCAATAATATTGGCGTAGAGATGCACCAACCTTTCCTTCGATCAAGTTGCCCCAATTCAGAAAACTACATAAATATAAACACAAGAAGCGATCATGGCAAGATAGATGACAGAGAGAGATATGGTTTAAAAAAAAAACATGAAAAGAGAGATGGAGAAGAGTGAATTAGCCATGTGTTCTTGAACTTGGAACGCTTTCAGTGATCATTGGTGTCCAATCAATAATACTGTCATAGAGATAATGGTTTCGTAATAACTGAATTCATGTAAAATTATCATTATTTTAACGCGCGATTTACTGAAAATAAAGAGACACCAAAGCTTATCGGTGCGTATGGTGGGGATAATCTTTGATGAACTCACAATAAAGCCCTAATTTTCTGGTTCATCCGGAAGAAAAAGATGGAAAAGAAGCGTAGCATGAATCCGAGATAGAATGTTGAAAGTAGAGAATAGAAGAAAGTCGTTACCTTTTTATATACAGGGTCAAATTATGAAATTTTCAGTGGTTGGCCTTAGGAAGATTAACAGGAAGAGAAGCTAAGGAAACTGCCATTTATGATAATTTTAGGGGGTGTTTGGATAAAAATATTTTTAGTTTATTAGCTTATTGCTTATTGTGGTGGGAATAAACAGTTTTTTAAAAAGTGTTTGGATTACCATATTGTGGTCGGAATAAACAATAAG